CGGGTCGAATGAGCGTCTGCTCTCCCTCGTCAAAGGGGTCCACAAGCGTTTCGCTCGCGGTTCCGGCTTCGGCGCTCCGCCTTTGATCGCCATCGAGGTTTTTCTCGCTCCTTAATCTCAATTCGCTCACTGAAAGATCAGGTTGACCTTTAGTCAATTCGGTTTCAGCAAACACGTCGGAGGCGCTGCTAAACGAGGACTGGCCACGCCTAGTTTTAAATTTTTGCGTGCTGCCCTTGCTCAGCCTGGGAATCTTAGTAGTCGATCCTAACGAGTCCCTGCGCTGCATGCTTTGTAACAAAAAAAAACAATATTCGTATGTCGAAAAGTCAGTATCAATCTCTTAGGTTTCTCAATGACAATCTTAGTGACTCAGCTAGAGTTACACACACACAGGGTCTGCTCAGTATTGATATAATGCTAACTCAACCCTGTCGTATAGTATAACAGTATCACAAAATTTTCACAAGATATAATCAACACACAAAACACAATAGATAATCAGATAAGAAAATCCTACAGGTGACAGCGACCTTTTGTCAGTATCAAATTATTGCCACACAATTTATCAAGTCACTGCTTTGTTAAAATTAAACAATCTTTGATAAAAAGCAGTGATGATCCAGAAACAGATCAGTAAAACTTAGTCTTAAAGAAAAAGACTTCCCCCAATCGGAACGATCCGAAAGAACAAAGCCCAGGACACAGTCTTCTCAAGTGGGTGTGTATTTGCCTAATACACCCACCGAGGTCTTCTTTTAGTTGCCCTGCGATTGCCGGAGCTGTCCTATTAAGTGGCTCAAGGCAACCTCTGATCGAAAATTTCTAAAGTCTATGAAAAAGCTCTCCCACACCCGGACTGCTCCAAGTGCACGAGAGTAGGGAACAACTTTTCTTCTCAAGTGAGTGTGTATTTGCCTAATACACTCACCGAGGTATTCCTTTATTTGTTCCCGGATTGCCCGAATTTTCCTATTAAGTAGCTCAAGGCAACCACACAACCAAAATCACAATCAGGAAAAAACATTTTTTTTTTCGGGTACTTCTGATACACCCGATCTAGAATCCAAAGTTGATCACGAATTTCCGGGTCAAAATGGGCTCTTATGATCCTAATAAGCACGCCTAATATCTTAATACTATTTTAATTAAATGGATATTTTCCGTTTCCCAAATTGCCACAGAAGGTTTCCTCAAGTTTCTAACAAGGAAGGTTCTTTAGAAGGTTTAAGACACTCCGGAGGGTTACTTCGGAGGGTTGTTAAGACACTTAGCCTACTTCGGAGGGTACCTTAATCACCCAAGTTACTTCGGAGGGTCCCCTTAAATTTACTAAGGAGGGTCAATAAAATGCTTAATATGCTCCGGAGGGTTACTTCGGAGGGTACCTCCAAAATTCTCAAATTTCTGAGCTTCACTTAGAAGGACCTTCAATTAACTTCAGGAAGCGTCAAAACAAGCTAAATTCTATATGGGGGCTGTCTTAACTTCTTTGGATGATCTCGTGGAAATTTTCCACTAAGGAGGGTTGCTAAGGGGTTTAGCTGATTCCGGAGGGTTACCTCGGAGGGTTCCCCAAAAATCAAGAAAAAAGGTTATGTTACCGCGATAAAGTCTCCAAAAGCGGTCCACCTGACTTAAAACTAGGTTGGCTGACACGGTCAACCTTCCCAGCTGGATAAAAAGGTGTTTTGATAAAATTTTCTGCCGCTCGGAGGGTTACCTGTAATTTGGACCCTCCGAACCAACAAATTCTAAAAATTTTTTCTTTTCCGAGATTATCAACCCAAAAACGGTTGCGGTCCGGAAAAGTGGTCCAAAACGTCGTCCAAAAATCAGTTGGCTAGTCTTTGAGAAATTTCCAAAAACGTGTTTGTCCAAATGGCCTTTTTTCACCACCTATATAGGTTCTGAGAATTTTTTTCCGCAATTCCTATCAAAACTGCCTAAAAATAATTAAAACGAGCGTAGTAGTCCTGTACGGCACTGGAATAGTGCAAAAAACCGGACCAAAATTGGTTTGGAGACAAAAATTTGGCCAAAAACTATCAAATTTGGACCATCCGGTTCCTACCTTTTCCAATCCTTAAGTCGTTAGCTCTATCCACGGAGCTAATCGGAGGGTTACTCAAGAATTTCTCTAGTAATCGAGCACGTTATGCTAATATGCTCCTAACGCAAAAAATTTTGTTGCTCTAACCCCAAAAACTCAAAAACTCGATCCCCAAAACAGATTGACAAAATTCAGAAGATTATCAAAATTTTGATCAAAAATTTTCGTTTTTTCTAACTTCTACTGAGTCTTTTCTCACGCGGTCTCTTTAGTTAGGGGGATCAAACTACGTAGCTACTCCCTAAATAAAAGCTTTTTGCTGTTCGGAAAAGCTCGGATATTCCAAAAATTTGGGGGTCTATAGTTTGTCGAAAATCAGTAATTTTTGTAGAAATTTGGGTGTTTCTTGGGTCTGAGTAGGAGATAAGTTATATATAATAAGGATAATAACCTATTAGCAGTTGTTAATAAATATTAATATACCCTCCTTTGCACCAAAATACCCGAATTAAGACCCTTAATTCGGAAATTTGTAATCGATGGAGGGTACAATCGGTCCGCGCCAATCGTGCACCCCACCATTTAAGTTTTAATGAAATAGTACCCGAACGATACTAAAATTGCTTCAACGATACCCAACAGTCGTTGCGGATGTTGTCCCTGATGTCCCTGTTGAGTGTGGAACACGTTGATCAGCTTGCCACTCTACCCTCCGGTCACCGGCAAAATCACCAATAACGTGCTTAAACACTCAAATTACACTCGAGGGAGGGTATCCAACCCTTCACCAAAACACAATCTCTCTATTAGAAATGATATAAATCAATCTGAAACAACAACAAATAGGAAGGTCAGATCACATCTCGTCCGGAAATAACATATAAACTGTCACTTTATGTTTTTTACTGTTTTTGGTCTTTTTTGGATTTTTTACTGTTTTTTGTACTTTTTTGTTTTCAAATAAATTTATTTTTTGGCTTTTTCCTGGTTATACACTATTTTTGTTTGGTTTTACGCTTTCTCTTTAATTGTTTTTGGTCCTGGGACCTGAGGACAAGCGGGCTCTAGATTTCCCACCTAACCCTCTGGCCCCCGGAATTTTCGGTGTTAACTAAGTTAAAAAGCTAAATAGTACTAGACGGAGGGCACCTTCCCCCCAGTACATTAACGGTCATTAAGGCCTCTAACTCGGGCATACGCCCGGAGCGGAGGGTTCGTCGCTGAAACGCTTGCTGATCATGATGGTCTTATGCCTTTGACAGGCCCACCCAGGAGCGCCATAAAAACGTCTATGTAACATTCGCCCAAATACTACACAGCGAGGGAGCGTAGAAAAAGTACCTATTAACGACTGGCAGGCGTCAGTTACCTTAATCCTACTCGTTTTTCACCGTCTCGACCTTGCCAGTTGATTTTCTGGTCTGTTTAGGGCTAAGTAAAAGGTTACTATTTTCAGGCCATCAGTCAAACGACTTTTGATCAGCTTTCGTTTACATGCGAACACAACCACATAGCTGAGTCTCGGATCCTCAGACTACGTGATTGTCATTAAAAACACGGCTCGAACAACCTATTTTAATATGTTTTTGTGTGACAGTTCTATATTAAATCCATTTGAGATGGATTGACCCTTTCCTCTTTCTAGCTACTCATATTCTCAAATATCAAACTATACCGGTGTTAATATAAAGTTTCACGACATCCAAGTAGCTATACAGTCAGTTTTATACAGTCCCTTCACATAAAACAGTCTCTGGGGGACCAAGCCTCCGCTCCCGTAATCTTCCTGAGATAACAATCTTATCTCTTCCATTTTGTGGTACGGGAGGGTTCCGTGGAATATTCCTTCCCCACTGAAGCTTCCTTCTCCACTAATATCCACTGATAAGGGTCTTATCGTATGTTGTTGCCACGATAAGAAGCTTCGTATTTCTCGTCTCTTGTGCGACCGTTTTTCACAATATTTGTCGTTGTTCTGTTTTTTTTCGTCGTTATTCGTCAAAATGGCCGTCTTTTTTGTGTTTCTGAGAAATATTCCCCTTCCGATCGAAATTTTGAAAATAAAAATTCTAGAATATTCCTACCCTCCTTCGCAATACTTTTTCGTTAATAAGGCCTTTATTCGTTCTTTTTCGTGTCACCGGAAGGTTGCGCTGTGCCATCTGGCAGAATGGCACAGATTTTGCACATCCGTCAAGTTGGTAAGATTTTTGCTCGTTTCATTCTGTGTTGTGGATTTGTTCAATCCAAGTCTGAGGGAGAGATTTTGATACTGGTTGAAATCTGTTTCTTGTGGTCATTGAGTCAAAGTCTAAGGGAGTGAAACTTATATTTTGTAAGAGAATCAAACATAATCTCCTATATTAATTACTTTTTTTTCTTAAATCGCAACTCGTAGGTTCTAATTGATTTTTTTGAAATTGTAAATTAATTTTTTTTAGTTTAGAGTTTCATAATCAATATGTACTCAAATAACATCATATTTATCGAAAACAACTCATCGAGATAGTAACCTAATTGTTGACACAAGAAACTGCTTGTAATTTTTTTAGAGCTCGTCATGTTAGTTTCTGAACTGTTCCTGTACATTTTTTTGTTCAACCGTATACTGAGTATCCTGGTCGGCAAACTGTTTTTGTTCTTTCTGTGACTTGTGCTTAAAATACTTTTTTTAGTACCGGATACAGAGTTTCCTGGTACGCATGAATTTTTTACTTTCTACTTCTAGCAGTTTTTGTTCAATTAACATTACTTTTATCTGATACCGGGTATCATGGTTTCTTGCTGAATTCTAGTTATGTAGTACAGTACGAGGCTCTAGTTGATTCAAATTCTGACGGAATTTCAATTGGAAAATTCGATTGAGAATTCGAAGAACCCGATTTTTTTTGAATATTCTGGAATTTGCTAGTTCAATCTAGAATATTCGATAGAAATCTTACTATTACTGATACCAACTGTAACCAACCTCGACAGCAAAAAGATTTCAGCAATCGTTTCGTTCAAACAGACATTTACTCTCAAACTACTGAAACAGAATTTGAAACTCAACGTTTTATTACCTTTTTTTTGTTGTAACAGAGAAAATTCAAGTCCTCAAATAATTACAGATGGTAGCAATGGGAAGGGATTTCTATGCAATTCTGGGGATTAACAAATCCGCCACTGAGGATGAAATCAAGAAAGCGTACAAGAAATTAGCCATGAAATATCATCCTGATAAAGCTAAGGATGAAACGGCCAGGGCTAAGAACGAAGAAAAATTCAAGGAAGTCTCAGAGGCGTACACAATCCTGTCGGACAAAGAAAAACGAGAAATCTATGATAAATATGGCGAAGATGGACTGAGGCGCGGAGAAGGTGGACCTGCCGGCAACCCCTTTGGCAATGGGCGTAAGTTGATAAGCCATTTTATATCTAGGTAATTGATGACTTTTAAAATGCGAAATGAATGAACTGGCTCGTAGCAATTATATTTTTAATGGCATTTTGCGCTAAATATTTGTGTAATGAGATTTGTATCTGATCTGGAGTATATATTATTTCAGATACTACCTTCACCTATTCGAACATCGACCCGCACGAAATTTTCAACGGCGTGTTTGGACCGAATTTCAATATTTTTGCAGACAGTTTTTTTGAGGACATGGATTGCTCTAATGGTCAAAGTGGTGCTCAGTTTGGACAGCCATTTGGAATGGGAATGGGTGGTAACTCGTTCTTCAGCATGACCGGAGGACCTCAAGGGCATCGTGGACACTCATTAAAAAGGCAGAAACCTCCGGTTGAGTACGACCTGAAGTTGAATTTGGAAGAGCTTTATACTGGGTGCCACAAAAAAATGAAAATAACTCGACAGAGAATAAGAGATGGAACACGACGTAGCGAAAGCAAGGTTCTTGAAATAAACATTAAACCTGGTTGGAAAGCAGGAACTAAAATAACTTTCTCAGGAGATGGCGATGAAGACGAGCACCACTCAGCTGGAGACGTTATATTCAAAGTGTGCGAAAAACCTCATTCTGTTTTTGAACGTGTAGGAAACGATTTGGTATATACACACAAACTGCCGTTGCGTGATGTAAGTTTATCTATTGATAGCTGTGAAATCATAGCCCATTATCGGAGTGCGGTTTGTATTTAGACAACCGCATATTCATACTCGTCAGTATTTAGACAAATACTGTATGAACCAATCAGAATCGAGATTTATTAATTTCTTCCTTCTCTCGACTCTGATTGGTTAAAACAGTACTTGTCTAAATACTAACGTGTCTGAATACGCGGTTGTCTAAATACTGCTACGTAACCCCCAAATCATTCCCTCCCTAGGAAATCATAGCCAAAATAGTAGAAGTTGTAGTAGAACACGCTTCGGTTCAGCAATTGATCTAGGGAATTTCAGCCTTATACAGTCCTGAGTTTATCTCAGTTTTTATTATATATATATATATATAGCAGTCCAATCGTTGAATGAGAACGGAATTTTAAAACACTGCTTGAACGGCTTTATTCGATAAAGCTAAGAAGTTATTGCTTCAAGTAATAGTAAGAACGTTGAAAATGACATTCTGATTATTTTTCAGGCGCTTTGTGGTGGATCGTTTTTCATTCCAACAATTGACGGAAGCCGCGTACAACTTCGCATGGACGATGAAGTTATTTCTCATAAAACTGTGCGGAGAATCGGTAATCAAGGAATGCCTTTGTCAAAGACACCAAATCAGCGAGGAGATCTAATTGTCAAATTTGATGTCATTTTCCCCTCAAAACTTTCTTCAGCGGCAAAACAGCAAATACAGAGAACCATTCCAGGTTCTTAGAGTCTGCTTTTGTTGACTTCAATTTAATGACTGAAATTTAATTTACTTTTGTTGCTCTTAAGCAGTTTGTAAAGTGTAATAAGTTAGTTAGATCTGCTAATTTGCATCGATATGATATTGAAATGAAATTATTTTTTATTCGTTTTATATTTAAGTAGAGTCAGCATTGAAAGCTCACTTGAAAGGAATTAACAAGACTGCTCGTATCATGGTAAAGCCTTGAATGTTCTGACTGTATTTTGAGGTATTCGGAGTACTGTTCGTTTCGAAAAAAAAGTGACATTGTGGAAAAACATCCCTCCGCAAACTAGATAGCTTTAAGCATATTTATCGGACTAAGTCTTGAATTGTTAAAACTAATCAAATTTTCAAAACTGTATTTGAATTGACAAGAGCAAACCAAAACGATAGCAATTTTTCAGAGCTCAATTTTTTCAAAATAAATTCAAGACCTTAGCTTTAACTTTTTCATTCAGCAGCGATTTGAAGTGCAATTTTTCTATAAAACACCAAAAAAAGTATGAAACCGCAAAACTTCATAACTATTTCTGATTCGTTTCAGATAGAAATAACGTTTTATTTCGCAAATTTAAGACGTCCGATAAATTTGTTAAAAGCTATGTTTCGCTTGTAGCAAATTAATAAGTAGACCACAAAGCTCGGCTCAACTCAATTTGGATCGTTTTCTAAGATGGATTAAATTTCCGCTATTGCATGTTTAGCACGAAATATATTGCGCGTTAATTGTCCCAAATTGGCTATTTTTAAACCCCAATAACTTCACGAAAAGTAAAACACAGTTGAAATATCTGAAGTTTGAGCTTAAGACAAAAATAATTTTCGAAATGTTTTAAAACTTGTCACAATGTTTGTTGAAAGTCAAAAAGTTTGTCTAGCAAAAACCACCCTGAGCACAAACATTCCACCATTTTCTTCGAAAATAGTCGGAACAATTATATGCCGCTTTACGCAAGTTTTCATTTTTTTAGTGAAAATTGCAAGTGCGCGGAGCATTTATTAGTTCCGCGTTTCAAACTATTTTAGGTGAACGTGCCGATATTGTTCAGGCGCGCGTAACAAAGTAGATGAAGCGGCGTGTGTAGCTTTGATCATATTTATTTTGTCGGAAATGTCTTTGTCCTAAATGTCTGTTATTGTTCCGACACGGAATATTTATGCTTCGTGTCGAAATATTTATTTTACCTCCACTCAATTTTTGCAGAATTGTGAGAGTTTGAAAATTGCCAATATGGCCATGCTCTGGACTAATTTATGCGCGCTTTGTAGATTTTATCCATAATCCTGAAAGCGTAACGCGAATTTTTCATCCGTGGCGAAATATCCCGAACAAGTAAACTGTTCCAAGTTGAATTGAGGCTAGCTAATCGGTCGTATTAATCGGCCGCAATGGACTTCACTTTTGTTTTTTGTTTTTTTAATACAGCGTGTCAGCGTTCTGTTATGCTCCTCAGGTAAAGCGTTAAAGGGCTATTTTACTTGTCTAAAAATTTTAAAAATATATTTACCAGTTAAGTTCCATGTGAAATTTTACTTATAAACTATGTCAATTCAATTGAATCAAATATGGCCACATACCGTTCCACTTGAAACCAATAATGAATAGTTAAAGTATAAATCATCGTTTCCAGTATCGAAGGAGTGAATATTTATCCTCGCGCGGGGTCAGTGTGTCAAACCGCCTTCAAAATTGTTCTCAATAAAACCACTTATTGATTTTTTCTGTCTCCTAACTAGACTACAACACGCATCAAAATTCTTTAGATATTAATTGATTGGGGCGCATCAAAATTCTTAAGATATGAATTGATTGGGGCTAGGTCTTTTACCAGACCACAATGCAATAATTCAATTAAAATACATTTAAAATAAGTGAAAGATTCAAAAAGGAAGCGGTTAGAACAAACAGATCTTCGCTGAGAAACTATGAAATCATTGTCTTTAACCACGCTAAATGGCGTTATCACATTAAATGGCGTCATTACATTCTGTTTAAATTTGTTTATTGAGTCTGGTAAGAGGTCCATGTATAACATTTCTTGTAAAATTTCGGGCTGGTGAAAAGTCGGTCCCCTAATTAGTTTTATTGTGATGTTATATTATATCACATTTTAAAAAATTAAACAGACAAATTTAATTCCTTGCGAACTGATTTTTATTTTGCTTTCTGACAACAATAAAATTCCCTTAAATCGTTAATACTGACGAGTTTTTTCTGTTACACGTCCTCCCTAAATGAATAAATCTGGCAACTCAAATTTCGAGTTGAAATGAAAAGCGGGAAAGCGAGTTGAAATGAAAAGCGGGAAGGCGGAAAAGCGGGAAACAATTAATAAGCAGCTGCTCGATTAGGAAACAAAAATATGGCAAATTTATCACTAGATTTCCTAATCGAGCAGCTTCTAATTGCTTGTTTCGCTCGCTTTCAATTCCAAATCGAAATTTAAATTGCCAAATATATCCAGTTAGGGGAGGGGGGTATAAGCAAAAAGACCCATACTGACTTGTAGTCATTGATTTTAATTTTCGTTTCTGTTCCGACTTCAGAAGAAAACGGAATCTTTATGCTCGGTGTGATTTTTTATCCAATCAATTTTCGCTTATCGAATTAATAGTTTTCAACAAACATTTTTAATATTCCATTGAAGATATCGACTTTCTGAGTTAAATTTAAAAATATATATATTTTTTAACCTCCGATTAGTTTTTGTAAAGTACTGGGGGTTTGAAAATTGCCAAATTGGCAATGTTCTGACTAAATTATGCGCTCTTTGAAGAATTTGTTCATATTGCTGAGAGCGTAACGCGACTTATTTATGCGTGGCGAATTGTCAATTATCCTGCACAACAAAGTCGTTTCAAATTGAATTAAGGCTAGCTTATTAGATCGGTCGTATTAATTTCGTACGACTCTACATTTCACTTTTTGATATTGTCCAAAATAAATAGGTTCTCAATATTTTCTTTTCCCAAAAAACTATTCGATATGAATTAAGGGACAGTCGGAACATTCAGGGTTTTGCCTTGATATAGAAGCAGTCTTGTTGATAATAATTTACAATAAAAATTAGTTACTTGGTATTTCAATCAAGTGTTAATTTTTTATAATGAATAGGTTTTTAATTTCTTCGACTTCAATTTTATTTCAAACTTTTCCTAATCAAAAGCTAATTGAAGCAGTGATAGCCGGTTGCGATGCAAGTAGCACAGAATATTCCAACCACGGTAATTTAAGTAAAAAATTGAAAAATAAGAAAAAATCTTTAAAGTATTTGGTTTTATTAATTTCCGATTTTTGTAGCAGGGGGAGAAGGGTCAATGAGCTAAGAATCTGCTAGAATGTACAAGTAGATAACTAACTCACACTATTTTTCGTTATGTGTACGAAATAGACTGAACATGGGAAAGATGAGAACCGTTTTTCTCGACACTAGACAACTTTTCTCAATTTTTTGGAATTTGAATCTCAACCAAAAGGGCTTTAATATGATGACACATTTGACGTTAAAGTTTTCGTAAAAATGAGCAAAAAAAAGTCACCCTAGCAGTTAGTGCAACAAGGTCAAGCTGCTGAAATTTTAGTATTTTTTATCAAGCCTTTCACGGCGATTGTACTCCTATTTATAATTGTACTAATTTATGTAATTTATCTCCTCACATCATCTAAATGAATTTAAATATAGTATTTCCACTTTTTTTTTACTGTGAACTCAACTTCGCGTGGGTTTGCTTTTTCTCTTCTGGTGCAAAAAAACCCATTTAGGTGGCTTTGAAATGCGATCGTACTTTCTGTAGCAATTTTATACTAGTTGCATTAAAAAATTGAACTAAAAAGTTCTTTAAAGACTGTTTTTTCTCAATTATTTGAGTCTTTCAATTATTCGTCAGCATCACAGCTGGCTATACTGATTTGATGTAGCTGACAGTTGTGTTTTGTTCTACGAGTGGCATTTTATACAGTAGACGTTTGCGTTTTTTATTTGTATATTTTGAACAGCAGACAGTTCTACTTTATTTTTCAATTATTTTATCAACTAAAGACAGTTTTAGTTAGTTTGTTAGTTTATGCGAGCCAATTGTAGCGTTATATCTCGAAGTATATTATAGCCCTTTAGTTTTTTAACAGTTGCTATTATGAAGTTATAATTATACATATTTTGAATCTCTTTATGCCAACTTGGGGGAGTGAACTTTAAATGAAACGGTCATTTAAAAAATAACCAATGCAATTTGAAACTTTATGTTGTGTGAGCGATCATTAAAACTAGACGGCTGATTTTCTTAGTCTGATTTTGTTATTTCATTAAAATTGTTATTATTTTATTGTTTTTTAAAACTGATTTTGATGATTTATTTTTAAAACTTTATTATCTTAACTATTTTTTTTCTAAAAACTATCAACATTTTTTCACTTAATTAAAACTGGACGTTCGAATTTTATATTTTTATTCGCTACTTTTTCTGCCCCACTTACGACGATGAAATTTTCTGAAGCTAACCCCGATCTGTACTCTGTGCTTGGGGTGGAGAGGGGAGCGACTGAAGACGAGATCAGAAAGGCGTACAAGAGACTGGCCTTGAAGTACCACCCGGACAGACAGAAATCAGAAGAGGCCGCGGATGACGAAGCGAATCAGACTACTGTCAAATTTCACCAGGTATAAATTTAAAAAAGGCCGCAAAACATGTCAATTACTTAACTTTTTTACCCTTGCAAAATATTTTTCTCGCATTTATCAGAGAGCTCAAGATTACTTGATAGACCCCCGGGTTGACCAAAAATGCTAATCAATTCCCTAAGTACAGAAAATTGCATTAAAAGTCTATGATTAGTATTTTTCATACATGGAAATTGTATGACTAGCATTTTTCCATATATGGAATTTGTATGACTAGCAATTTTTCATATATGGGAATTGTGAAATTAAAACTTTTTCATACATGAAAATTTAATGATTTTATTTTTAAACATTTATAAATCCAGCAAAATGAGGCAAAAATTATTTTAATTCTCGTCCCATACGACGAGCAGTCTCTGAACAGAGAATACAAAACAGAGAAAAAATGTTTTCTCACAGTAAATTCTCCTCACTTGCTTTCCGTACCATTTTTTCTCATACCATTTTTTTCTTTTTTTTTTTAATAAAGAGACACCAATTTCGATACCAAAACAACAATAAAACAACTTTAGAAGTCGGTTAAACTCATTTTGCAAATAGTATGAAAATTGTATGATTAGCATTTCCCCATCGACTAAGTGTATGAAATTGTATGAGTAGCATTTTCGGTCTATGGAGGTCAACCCAACCCGGGCCTTTAGAAATGTAAAATTGTGTCAGTTGATTTCGGTTTATAGTTTATTACAGATGTCAAATTTAAATGCTTATTACAATCGAGGTTTTTCTTCCAATGTGGCATGTATCATAAAAAAGCTTGGAATTTTGAGTTTGGATTATGTGAATATGCCTGAAATATGAAAAAAGGCAGAATGTATTCGACAAACGCTATAATTGAAATATAATTGAAATCAGGATTTATGAAAAAAAACACAATGGCCTGTGAGCAATATCAATGAAAACTGAACAAAATAAACAGTTAGACAACTCGTATCAGTGCGACAATTTGAATAATCTCGATTTGAAAAAAAAAATGAAACTAAAAAAAAATTTAAGTATCAAGATAAATTGATATATTTAGCATATAGGAACGTATAGATGAAAATAACTAGCATACCTTAATTCAATTGTGAACAATAACTGGAAGGAATTGATTCGCCGCTTATGTGTTATTAGCGCGAAACATACAGCAAGATTAATTATCCCAAATCGGCAATTTTTACACTCTCATAACTTTTCAAAAATGAAAACTTCCTTTAAAATTTGAGCTCAAGAACACCAAATTAGTTTTCAACTGAGAAAAAATTTCGTCATAAATGACTAGTTAAAAATCAAATTCTTTCTGGAGACAAAAACTACCAGAGCACAAATAATTCGTCATTTTCTTCGAAAATCGAGACAACAAGGCTGCTCACATCAGGGCGAAAACCTGAGGGGTTCGACTGCAAGGGCGGATCTAAGATTTTTTCGAGGAGATAGATTTTCAAAAAATCTAGAAAAATATTAAGGCTAGCAGGCCTAAATTGGATGTCATAAAATAATACCAGAGGAGGGACCATTTGATTGGAGAGAGGGCCAAATCTGGGAGGGAGGGGCGTCTGAACCCCCGCCCCTCATTAATCTGCCCCTGTCTGACTGCCCTTTAAAATCGATGACTTTCGAAAAAAGTGTGGATATAGATGATCGGGGTAATTTTTTCAGACCTATTTAGGTAATCAAAATAATAGTTTTAACAAATAACAAGACTACACGTATATCAGGGCAAATCCTGAATGTTCTGTTTGCCCATTAATGTATTTTGAACAGTTTTCAGGGAATTAAATATTGAAAACGATCTTTTTGGGACTGTAAGTAGCAAACATTAAATTTCAAAATTAAAGATTGTAGTGCAGAATAACTTGTCGCGCATAAACAATTCCCGTTACGCATTCAGCATCTTATTAAAATTTAACAGTGCGCTTGAAGTAGTCCATAACATAGCGAAATTTGCAAATTTCAATCCGAAGAGGTTTATAAAAATTAATTGGAGGTAATATATCTTTTTCGGTTTGAACTCAGGAGGCAATATATTCAATGAATTATAAACTTTTTTCCTTAAAACTACAATTTCGATTGCCGAAATTTGACTGAACAATAAAAAAGTGCTCCAGACAGCACTTTATTTCAGATGGCGTTAAAAATTTCCGTCAAAACGCTTATTTAAAAGTCTATATTTGACTCGTTTCTGTACAAAACAGTCCAATACAAAACAGTCCGAAAAACAGTCCCAAGTAACAATTCAGTCCCAAGTAACGAAAAACAGTCCTAAGCCGGTAGGCCGAGAATTTTCCTTTGTTCAAAAAATATAAAGAATAAAATAGTGACCACCGCAGTCGCACCAATGTGTTGCTAGCTTGCAAACAGAGGGTAGGACTTAATACAAAATTTATAGCCGGTTATCGCCGCAAAGCGGCGACGCGCGCCCACCGGCGACCTTAAACCGGACTGTTTTATTTTGGACTGTTTTGTATGGGACTGCTTTGTACCATAAACATAAATTTTCCGCGTTTTTTCTTCGAAAGTGGGATTATTAATTCTGTCATTCTGTTCAACAGTTGGAACTATAAATGTTTTTTTTTGCGACTATTGGACTATTTTTTGCAACGCAATTGATGCAAATATCTGTTTTTTGTTTTCAAATGTAGGTGTCGCAGGCTTACGCTATTCTGTCTGACAGGCAAAAGAAGTCTCTTTATGACTCATCGCTTGACCGGGAGAGAGCTCAGAGGCGTTATTCCACTAACAGTAAGTGTAGTCGCACCATTTTTTCTCCTGATTTTCAAGTTTTCTGCTTTTTACTATTCCAGCTCAGTCAATCAATTAATTACAGTTTAATTCTAAGAATATCTCCAGTAAGGTTTAGATTTACGAAGCATTTCTAACAGAATGCAGTGTTGTATTTAAGAATTATGGGTAAGAGTGTCACATCTTTTGTTTTTTTAATTAAAAGAAACTTTATTTACGGAGTGTGAGAATTACATTTTAGTCACTTTTTTTTCGAAAACCTTGAAGACAGTTATTAGTGCTTTTTTTGTTGTAAAAAAGTAAAATAATCATTTAACTGGATGATCTAAAATAGGGCGAGTTCTCAGAGTCGCGATTAAATCAAGATTTGAAGCTAAAGTTCGGAAAAATTTCATTTCTCGTTATGAGCTGAAAAATGTTTGAAAAATGGATGCCATGAAAAAATATTATTTATTTGTTAAATAAATTTTAGCCTCGTATTCTGCCGGAATTCAAGCACAATTCTTTGCAACTCCAATCGACCCAATGGAGATATACAGAAGAGTTTTTAGTAGTTATTACAGACAGAAACCTACAAGAGTTAACTCACAAAACTACCCTCATCCAGTTTATCAATCTCCGAGTCCCAAGGAGCCAAAATCGAGTTCAACTTCAAAACCAGCAAGGAACAAAATTATGCCGAGCAAAGAGTTAAACATTATGTTGACACTTGAAGAACTTTACCATGGATGTACCAAACTATTATCACTTAGTCGAGTAAGGCTGAAAGAAGAGAAACTTACGCTGGAGGAGGAAACGTTCGACTTGGAGGCAGGGTTTTGACATTGATAGTTAAAATCATTAAAAGCTTATTTCAATAAGCAATCACGAAGTTTTGCTGATTTTTGCTTTTTTGGAATTTTGTACTTTTCCGACTAAGAAAAGGATCTAAGGTTGTGATTCGATAGATTTTAAGAATTTTGAAAAAAAAAAATTTGTGATAGTTAGAAAAAAAATGCGTAACTTCAAAAAATATCACTTTCAAATACTTTTTTTCATATTTTTTGCAATGATTTTGGTTTCGGAATATTTTTGTTATGTGTGCTCTGTACCTGACTGTTCAAGCTAGTTTTCAGCTTCAAATTGTTTTCATGTATCGCAAACAAGAAATGAACTCAAAAATGCAATTAAACAATTCCGACCGCCGTTTTTGCGAATAGCGTGTCAAATCCCTGATTGGAGGTCGAAGTGTTGCCGGGATGGAAGGGCGGAACCCAGTTGACCTACGAGGGCTGTGGAGACGAAGACCACAAACATCTGCCAGGAGATCTAGTGGTGACTGTGGTCGAACTAAAGCATGATCTGTTTCGAAGAGTGGGGAATGATTTGGTATTTGTCAAACTGATATCACTCAGAGAGGTAGGTGACAGTTTTTTAGTTTCTATTTCATTTTACTGGGGAATCAAAATTTGAACAGTTAGAGTTCTTGAACTTGCAAAATGGAAAAAGGTCAAATACCTGGGCAACTACCGTTGGTTGAAAAACAAACCACTAAACTGCCAAACAACAGGCAAAAAACCTATTAGCAGGACGGATGTATCAGTTTAAAATGTTTTTCAAAAACATGTTGCGGCCGTACGAATCTTATGTTCAAACCGCAAACAACCTTAAATTTTTCGCTAACAATAGTAAAATCCGAATTAGAATCCAAGTTTTTTTGCTCAAATTAACAGTTATAATAGAAAATAATAGATTGGTTGCAAAATAACTTAATTCGAATCTAAATCTCGAAGTGTGCTCGAAAAACGAATTCGATTTCAGCTTTACTCAGTTAAAAACTTATGAGTTTATGAATCGACCAACAGGCCTAAAAAGTAATAGGGAAACGGATACGATTGACAGACTGAACGGAAGCATATCATGTCCTGAAATCGATTTAAAAAATAATGAAGTAAGACGAAAAGGAATATGGAAACTACAAATTTAACAAAACAATTTTATGAAAAAATTGCTGTTAACAGAATTAGAACACTCATCAATATGCTTATTTCTTGAGAAGTTTTGTTTATAAGAATTGATGTAGACCTGAATGAATAGCAATTAAAAGGCTATCTGCACAAATTTATACATTGCATGATATCAATTCCCCGAAAAAATTACCTTAACTGAAAAAAAAATTCGAAAAGTTGAAGTTGTGGGGTCATTATAAAAGAACTAGAAAGAATAGTGAAACTCTTCCTTATACTCTTTTTAGACCAAAAGCGAAGAATGATTTCAGAGACAACATTTGACAGGGACTAATGTCTTTTGATGTTCTATTGGGGAAAAATTATTACATAAATAGAACAAGAGAAAAATGTATGTACCTACACTAGAAAACGAATATATTAATTGCTATTATAAGCGGTAATAGGCACAAAAATGAGCGTAAGGGATGATAATTTACCTTAAAAACTCTTTTTTTTTTTCAATTATTTTTTGAAAACACTAACATTCAATGGCACAAGCTACGTCACATCCACCAAAGGGCAGTTGGAACACTCGAGGCTGCACAATCTTTTTTTTTCATTTATGTTCTACTGAGTGTCAGGTTTTGTCTTTAAAAAAATGAGCTGATTTGCTTCATTGTGATTAGCTTGCTGCGTTTTTCATCCCCATTTTTTTTTGTAATGCTTGCGGATTTTTTATTCTCTTTGCACCAAGCTACAGCATAATTTTTTTTCCTTCAAAGTCGGCTAATGAACGCTATTGTTCCCAAGGTCAGATCTTTGTAAAGCTAGCATGCGGGTAGCTAGGCGATTCCAAACATATGCTCTCTTTTACTAACTCCCTACCCCATCCTCTCATTTGAAACAAATTTTCGAAAAAAGTGTTTCAGCATTTTCATAAAGCATTGAACTTTGTGTACTGAACAAGCTACCAACTGTGAACAAATTTTTTCTCCATATTTTACATTGAACCAAAGCTCTTGGAACTATAGCAAGACTGCTCGTACATCAGGGCAAAGCCCTGAAAAATCAAAGTATCGTTTAATTCAAATCGAATAGCTTTTGGGAAAAAAACTTATACTTTTTGACTATATCGGAAAAAGACACGAAATTAATACAACCGATTAGCTAGCCTCAATTCACTTGGGAAAAGTTTTGTTGTGCGGGATAATTCGCCACGCATAAATAATTTGCGTTACGCTCTAAGCTTTATGAATAAACTTTTCAAAGCGTGCATAATTTAGCCCAGAACATAGCCAATTTGGCAATTTTTAAACACCCAGAACTTTACAAAAAGTAAGCGGAGGTAAAATATGTTTTATGTAGTTTCTAATAAAAAATTTATACCCCATTAAAAATATCAAATTTCTGAGATCAAACTCTTAAAAAAAGAGATTTTACCTCCGGTTATTTTTTGTAAAGTTCTGGTGGTTTGAAAATAGCTAAATTGACCATGTTCTGAACTCACTTATGCACGCTTTGAAAAGTTTTTTCAGAATGTAAGAACGTAACGCGAATTATTTATGCGTGGCAAATTATCCCACACAACAAAATCTTTCCCAATTGAATTGAGGCTAGCTAATCTGTCGGATTAATTTCGTGTCACACTTTGATATGGTTCAAAATTTATATTTTTCCCCAAAAACGATTTGATATGAATTAAGGGACAGTCGGAACATTCGGGGCTTTGCCCTGATATATGAGCAGTCTTGTTATGGTTACAGGAGCTTTGTTTCAACGAAAAATATAGAGAATAAATTTGATCACAGTTGGTAGCTTGTTCACTGCACAAAGTTTCAATGCTTTATGAAAATGCTGAAACACTGTTTTAGAAATTGCATATCAAATGAGGGGATGGGGTGGGGAGATAGTGTTAGAGAGCATTAGTTTGGAATAGCATAGCAGCTATTAGCATGCTAACTTTTGTAAGTATCTGACATTGGGAACAATAGCGTTCATAAGCTGACTTTGAAGAAATAAATATATGCTGTAGCTTGGTGCAAAGAGATTAAAAAGGCCAGAAGCTTTACAAAAAAAAATAAGTTTGAACTCAGAAAGTCGATGTCTTCAATGGGGTATAAAAGTTTTTTGTTGAAAACTATTGTTTCTATCGCACAAAAATCAATAGCACAAAAATCAAGTATAAAAACAGGAAGTTTGAAATGCAACGAGGTAAGTGGAAATGAGCCTAAACACATTTCGTGTTCCTACCTAGCCATGTAAAACAACTACTGATTTAGAAATTGATGCTTATGCGAAGATGGGGGGGGGGTGTTTGGGTCTGTGTGCATTTTGAAAGCATTTGTTTAAGGAGCATCAAGTTAAGGCAAAATCATGTATTTTTATCCTTTTCGGAGAGCTTGTAATTTCGATTAAATTTTGCACCCACCAGGTGGTAATTGCTAACACTGACTAGTTATTGAATCATTGTTGGCTCCACCGATTTTCCGCCTATTCCATTTTTCTGTGTTTCTAAATTTTGTCCACGAAGTCCATTTGTCATGAAAATTGCCATATGGTTGCTTTACGCAATAACAAACTCATTTTTTCCTCGTGTACAACTTCGCAAAACAAATGATTAGACTGTAAATTAGAGTCTATGTACAAAAAGTGGCTGAGGGAGGGAAACGGCAGAAAGCCAGGCTGTTTTTCAAGGATTTAGTTTGGTTATAATTTATCAGAGTTATTATGCCTTGGCAGTGTTTGAGTCTAAGTTTCACATGGGAACAGCTGTTCGTGCTCGTTGAGGAACACATCTAAGTTGGAAGGAGTCGAGAGTCCCTTGGGCAGGATGTCGTCCGCAAAGAAGCCCACCAGACCCATGAGGGTCATTATCGGAAACATCACCACTCCCTGTATAACACATACACAAAAATAAATTACATCAGGGCTCTTTTTCCTTTTCCCCCACCTCATACGAGCTTCAAATTTTTAGTGGAACGAGTGGTTTTACGAGGTTGAGTATGAAGACCAAATATGTTTGTCGTGCGTGGCCTTATTAGTCTGTAAATTTTCATAACAATCGGGCAATGTGGTCAACAATTTTACTTGTAAAAACTTGCAGGTGGGGGTGAAAAGGAAAAAGAACCTACATCAGTTTTCATGGTGCATCTACAAACATCTACGATAAGGTGAACATCCGATAACATGACTTGCCATACATTTTGAGCATTTGGGAGGGGGGCTATACAGCCTCGGGTGAAACAGGTCAAATAATTTGTTTCGAATATGAAGAGCGAAACAGTGTCGACTGATGCAAGAATAACTACAATTGAATCTGCTTCCCTATTCAATTTTAACCAAATGAACTGACCCGGGTTCTTTTCATTTACCCCCTACACACTTCATATTTTTCATTTTTATAGTTGATTTTCTTGTAATAACGGCTAAATGCGTGATGTTACAATGTAAGGTATGATGAGCATATTTGTTCACAGCTGTGGGTTTGTTGACCATGCAAATTTTCATTGCATTTTGACTTGGTCAAAATAGTTTTTTAAACTTGAAAATCAATGATGGCGGAAGTGGAAAAGAGCCGGCAATTACTAATATTCCGAGTTGATCAGATCCCTTCTCAGGTCGATGAAACTGTGTGAGTTTTGCTTTAGAATGATTGCTTTTCTTAATTGTCGAAATTGGCATCCCTCGTTATTAATTTCTTATTAAAATTAGCACAAACAACAGATTATTTGGCATGTCAGCTGTTTTTGGTAACAATGACAAAAAAACGTGACTTTCGAGAAAGTTATCGACTTTAGAATCCCAAATATGCGAATCATTTTTTAATTTGATACGGTTCCAGCGAGAACATCCTCGGCTCCCTTCGGAGCGAGAACAGGCAGGAGCTTAACGGTCTCTCCGGTGCGTGTCGTTACAGTTGCGGAATGTGAAAATCCATCTTTGCCTTAACTCATGGAGTTGTTTTGTGCTTAATGGTAGTCACCTCTAGGGCTTCGCACATCTCTTATCCAGACTACGACACCTGTTTTAAAAGTAGCGTTTGAGATTGAGTGCCACTTAACACGTTTGCTTACAGTACGAACAGAATTTTTCAATCAAGGAGCCGAAATTGCGTTAGCTTAACTCTGCGCGCGAGCATAACGTTTTCGATGATAGAATAACTCCTCAAGGAAATCGAAGGAACGCTGGTACCTTACATTGCAGGCGGATTGAACTTCCAAGTGATGATTTTGTGCGCTAAAGAAATAGAGGCGTTTCCATTCAACGTCTTAACACACAAGACTAACTCCTTCTCAGCTCCAAGCAAGTTAGTCACGTTGTCTGACCAAATAATCGAGGTTGTACCACGTCTAGCGACAAATTATGAACTTGCATTCATGGTGCATCAACTTGTATCCATGGAAGGCACCAGTTCTATGTGGACGGCTCTAGTAGTCATGCAAGTAAATGAAAAGCACCATCGCTTTTCTG